GGGATAAGTGAGCACTGTGAATAAGGGAAGTTACTTAAGTGCTATTTATTTTATAGACCAGACCTCCACTGGAAAATTTCCTAATAGATTTATGACTAAATGTCTTATATCCTCTTTTTGCAAAATTTTGTAAATTTTGAAATATTTCTAATTATAGGCTAATTTCTGTAAAGTATAATCACCACAAATGTCAATGTGTCTTTATATAAAGAAAAACAATTAAAGTACAAGAATATGACCCACTTACTTTGAAAAAAAGAGGCTTTTTGTTATTTACTTCCTATCACTTTAGTCCAACAATCTTCATTTTCAAAATAAAAGTATAAATGATATAAAGCAGTCTTATATAAATGAGGTACTCAATAGTTATTATGCAACACAACAGACATCAAAGACTAAGGTTTTAAAATTTATTTGACCTTACACTTTGTCCGCTTGTTTTCCATAAACCATGAGTGACACATGTAAGGCCCAGTTAGTAAATATTTTACGTTTTAAAGGCCATTGCTCTCTGTCCCAACTACTCAACCCTTCTAGAAGTTTACTGTTGTAGTACAAAAGCAGCTATAGACAATATATGAACCAATACACAAATAATAAAACCATCTGTGGACACTAAAATTTGATTTTAATATAACTTTTACACATCAAGAAATAATATTCTTCCTTCACCTTTCTCAATCATTTAAAAACATTAAAAAATATTCTTATCTTGTGGCTATAGAAAAACTGGTGGCAGGCTGGATATGGCACACAACCACAATGTACCAACCCTAGCCCTATACTTTGGAGGGCTTCTAAGATATAAATGATCTCTTTGGGGAGTCCTAAGTGTTAAAGAGAAAACCACAGGCTCAAAATAGTGTCACTCATGCTTAAAAGCCCATACTGAAGCTAGATTTCACACCTGATCTAATTATGGTTTCAATATATCCCATAAACATCTTAATCAACCAGTATAAAATTTTCTGGTCAAGCACCAGTAATCTGTCCTGTGGGCCCTGTCCATCCCCCATAGAAAGAAGAGACAGTCTGCATGATAAAAACCCTTCTGGTTCTCTTCCCCCAAACAAAGGATGTCTGGATACAAGATTAATCCTTTCTTTTCTTTTGTAAATTATATTTTATTGATTATGTTATTACAGTTGTCTCAATTTTCCCCATTTGCCCCCCTCCATCCAGTGGCCCCCACTCCCTCAAGCTATTCCCACACCATTGTTCATATCCATGGGTCATGTGTATAAGTTCTTTGGCTACTCCATTTCCTATACTGTAATTTGCGTGCCCATGGCTATTTTGTAACTACCTATTTGTACTTTGTAATCCCCTCCCCTCTTCACCCATTCTCCCACATACCCTACCATCTGGCAACCATCAAAACACTCTCCATATCCATGATTCTGTCTCTGTTCTTCTTGTCTGCTTAGTTTGTTTTTTAGATTCAATTGTCGATAGATATGTATTTATTGCCATTTTATTGTTCATTAAAATGACAAAGGTTAAAGATAAAGAGGGAATCTTGAAAGCAACAAAAGAAAAGCAGTTAGTTACCACAGGGGAGTTCCTATAAGACTGTCAGCTAATTTCTGAAAAGAAACTTTGCAGGTTAGAAGGGATTGGCAAAAAATATCCAAAGTCATAAAAAGCAGGGACCTACAGCCAAGATCACTCTACACAGCAAAGATATAATCTAGAATGAAAGAGCAGATAAAGAGATTTCCAGACAAGAAAAAACTAAAGGAGTTCATCATCATCAAACCATTATTATACGAAATGTTAAAGGGACTTATATAAGAAAAAGAAGAAGATCAAAACTGTGAACATTTTGTTAATAGCTCCCTTGCCCCACCCTTATTTCTATAAAACTTGCCATTTTGTACAACTCCCTGGAGTTCCCTTCCAGTTGTTAGATAGGATGCTACTGATTCATGAATTGCTTAATAAAGCCAATTAGAGCTTCAAATTTACTCAGTTAAATTTTGTTTTTTAACCAAAGACACTGGTTCGTTAATCTGTAATGATAATTTGTAATTTCAGCAACATCTTACACATTTTTAAATAATCAGATTTCATTAATTTAGTAAATGGATTCCTTAGTATTCCTTTGATTAGCCATGAAGAAATTTGCTATAGTTAAGAGCAGAATAATGTTTTTATTTTGAAAATCGCTTAAGTGCTGTTACATTTTGGTATATTTCCTTCTAATACTGATCTCCCCATTCCTCTATTTCATGCAGTGAGAAGCATTTTAGTGCTAGCTGGGTCTTTGTGAGTGGGAAGATTTGATTTAAACATCAAATCGTATCAATTTCTTGCTTGTGTTTTTTCATTTACCATTATATCATACATATTTGCTTATATCATTCAGTATTATTTAAAAAATAATTTGATAGTTACATAAAATTTCATTTTATTGTGAAGTACAGTGAATGAACCCCTGCCCAACATTGGACATGAGAGATTCTCTTTGCTATGCTGTATAGGCTATCTTTGTAAACAGTTTACCACATTCCCAATCATTCGTTCTAGAAGAGTTTCTAGAAGTAGATTTTCCATATCAAAAGATGGGACCTTTAACTAGTAATAAAGTTGACTAATTTCTCCTTATTTTTTGGCCTTTGTATTTTTTCTCTCAAAAATTTTGTCCATGTCTTTTCTTATAAGAGATATACCAACCCTTCTTCTTTTAAGTAGTAACTTATCATTGAAGATCATATACACTGTCTCCTGGGTAACAGTGTGTGCTGGGCTTGGTTTACATAGAGCAGAGGGGTCCCCAGCATGGCTTGTGGAGTCAGGTGCCCAGTCAAGAGCACTCAAGCTCATTAATGGCTCAAAGCCCCAGCTTCCTCATCAGTGCCTCAAAAGGCCACTTGGAAGTCAACATAGAATCATAGTCATCAAGCCCTCAGCATGATGCTTGATTTGTAGCAAGTGGTCAACAAATGTGAGCTCTCTTTATTATTAGTCCTATGTGCCATCCCTCAAGGGGTACAGACTGATGTGGGCATGGGTTTGCATAAAAATAGACATCTGAGTTTCTAGGAAATGAAACTATAAGCAGTTGTTTCCTCTGTAACATAATATACCCATGGTTAACTCTTCAATAGACCTGAGATACAAAATGAGCCCTGGCACAAACATTCAGATCTAGCAGTCTGAAAGGGATCCTGGTACATGTGATCATGGATCCTGGATCATGTCTAATTTGAGTGACAGAATAATTTTAGAAAAGGGCCACCAATATATTTTTTTGGCTAATGTTTGGCATACCTAATAACTCATACTGCTTGCAAAAGACTTAAACATATATTCTGTCATTTGAGGCTCACAATGGCCATAAAAGGCAACTGGAGAGGTATTATAATGCTCATTTTATGGGCGGATAACCGAGTTTCAAAGGGCTTGGGGGATAGTCCCAAGGTTCCCCAGGTAGTTACTGAGACAGCCAGCACTGACAGACTCGTGGCTCAACTAAACTTGAGTCAGGCTCCTCTGAGCCATTAGACCTTGACTTTGGGGCATCTGTACCCATCTGCCTAGTTTTCACAAGATTCCTGCCAAATCCCTTTAGCAAGAATTCCTCATCCTGATACCTGATCACCCTTAATACTGGGTTCTATACCCCATCCCCTGCCACCTCCAGGCAACATTTTGCCTCCCTGTCCTCTTTTCAGCAATAAGTTTATCCCAAATCCCCCCAGCCCTGATGTTCCCTCCTGGTAATTTACACTCACTGACTCTCACTCTGCCCCATGCCTGTAAATCTCCACTTGTGTTTGCTATATTAGGAAGTGAGCCCAATTCTATGCCCAGTTCACTTTTCCTCTATTGCCATAGTTCTTGTAAAATCGGTTTTTACAGCTTTAACCACTGCCCAGCTCTGGTTTTTTTTCATTTCTTTCTTTCTTTCTTTCTTTCTTTCTTTCTTTCTTTCTTTCTTTCTTTCTTTCTTTCTTTCTTTCTTTCTTTCTTTCTTTCTTTTTTTCTTTCTTTCTTTCTTTTGTAATTTTTCAAATCAATTTTCTTTTCTTTTTTCTCTCTCATCATACAGAACTTCTCTCCATACCACATTTTTTTGCAGCTAAAACATCACTTTATGTTGATCACATACAATTTATCCCTAAAACTTTGCTGATATTAAAATAGCACAGTTAACCAGTGTTAAATCTATAAATTATTTACAGCACATTAAGCTTTTCACACTTGGCAATTAAACTACATACAAATAAGACAAGACTCCCATTCTCCATGTTCAGAATCAGGGGTTCACAGTTCCTATCTGACCACTGTACAGAAGGCAGTAGTGGTGACAACAGGCAGTTAGTCCAGAGGAATTTGAACACTGTGACCTGGAAGGCCATTACAATGTTACCTCAGTGTCCTGTGTCACCCCATATTTTTCTCTAAGTTGCTTTCATAATTCTAGAATGTCAAGTCCAGCCCATACCAAATTAACACAGACAACTCATCCTAAAAACTCGTCATGATCATCATGGTTTTTCAGGTTGGGTGATCCAACAGTCTTGCACTTGACTGTTACTTCTTTTGGGGGTACTACCAGAGCCACAGCTCTGGTATTCTTAGCACCTGGTATAGGAAGCAAGGCTTCCTATAATCCTAGTCCTATGCATTCTTCTATTGTATGCTCATTTAGATGATACCGTATCTGGAAAAACACACAGTAAGTTCAGTGATCTGTATGGCTTCAAAGCCTAAAAGGCAGGATGAAAAAAATTGAACCCATAGAAGCTATTTCTACAATTCAAACATCTGGTCCTCTTCACATTGACTCTTGTAGAAAACTGGACAGGACAAGTGTTGATTAATCTGAAACTACGAAATACCCCCATGATTAATATTGATTCTAAAGTATCAAGAACTTTCCTCCAGCAAATAAGCAAAGTATAGATTCTTAAACGTTGCTCTTACTAGCTGGTTTTGGCTTTTCCCACAAAGATTACAGACCAAATTTTTAGGGATCTCTTAGCTGTTCTTACCATTTTTAGTCTTCTTCCAAAATGAAGTATAGAGGTCTGGTTGATGAGAGCAGAGCAAGAGACGTGTCAAGGTCAGCCTGAGATGGGCCCCATGGTATCAACTAAGAGAAAGAGAACACACCAAACTGTACATTTAAAAAACAACAGTGCCTTGGCTGGTGTGGCTCAGTGGATTGAGTGCTGGCCTGTGAACCAAACAGTTGCTGGTTCTATTCCCACCCAGTCAGGGCACATGCCTGGGTTGCGGGCCAGGTCCCCAGCTGAGGGTGTGCAAGAGGTAACCACACACTGATGTTTCTCTTCCTTTCTTTCTCCCTCTCATCCCCTCTGTCTAAAAATAAAGAAATGAAATCTTTTAAAAAAGATTTTTTTAAATGTCAAATTACTGTAGCTTCATAACATGCTAGGAACATTGCTTTCAAATGTGCTGTTGAAAATACCTATTAATGATATTTACTTCCTCAGAGTTATATAGATTAGAGACATATTCCAGAAAACCATTTCTAATATTATTAGAAGTCTGATTTTATCTCTGAAGAATTGATATTTTAGACTACCAAAATTTTTCTTTAAGTTCTAAAAAAAAATTTTTTTGGTATATGATTTGGTTTCCTCTCCTTCCTGCTCCCTGAAAGCAGCTCATATATCTAGTTACTTAAATTATCCCAATGTTTAAATTACCTTTCTTGGTTGCATGGAGTGATGCTATGTCTGGAGTCTTCTGAGATGAAGAGATGCAGGAGATATAAACTCCAGTGCTGGACTTTCCAAGTGCAAAGACAAGGTTGGTGGGTAGAGGGAGGAGCCTGACTATTCAAGCCACCCCAGACATGAGGTTTGCAGAAATACCAGGTTCCTCTTATTTCTACCATCATAACTGGGGCAAGAAGTCTTGTCTAAATCCAAACAACCTGGTGGACTGATCTTTCTCCCCCTTTGTCATAGGAGAGATTCTCAACCTCGGCACTATTGGCATTTTCTGTGAGAGAATTCTTTGCTGCATTGTAAGACGTCTAGCAGCATCCCTGACCCATACCCACTAGATGCCAGTAGCATTACCCCCTTCTAGTTGCAATAACCACAGATGTCCCCAAATATTGCAAAATATCCCCTGGAGGGCAAAAGCACTCCAGGTTGAAAACCACTGTTCTATAAATATATTAGTGATAGGTTCAAATTGACCTTGTTCTGTCTTAGACCCATCTGAAAGGGAACTCTGGGTTTTCAGCAGTGGCCAAGCTTCTAGTCGGTTCACTCACCAATTAAAAACGGTCAGCTGCACTTGCAGTCTAGTGTGATAGAAAGCCTTGCTTCTCAAAGTGGGGTCCCCAAGAGAATTGTTCCCTTCCTAACTGATTTTCTGGGCCTTTTGTAGGGAGAGTTAAAATATCCAGTTATGTTTAAAAGTCTTCACCTAGTCGACCTGGAGAGAATTTGAAAAATGGCATTTGGCATGGGAAAGCAGCTGATAATGATCAGGGTTGATAAAGTAAATTAAAAAGCCAATGATGCCCCAGATCAGCTGAAAAATGATACAATAATAATAGGTGGTCTTTCCTGTGGGTTTGTTATGAGCCAGGCACTGTTTTAAAATATCTATCTATCTATCTATCTATCTATCTATCTATCTATCTATCTATCATATATTTATTTTGGGAGAGAGAGGAAGGGAGGGAGAAAGAGAGGGAGAGAAACATGGACATGAGAGAGAAACATCAAGCGGTTGCCTCTCATAAGTGCCCTGACCAGGGAATGAACCTTGCATCCCAGGAATGTGCCCCAACCAGGAATTGAACTGGTGATCTTTTGGTTTGTGGGATGATGCCCAACCAACTAAGCCACACTAGTCAGGGCCAGACACTGCTTTAACTGCTTTATATGTATTGTCCCATTAAATACTGAAAAAAAGTAAACATCTGGTTATCCCCCCCCCTTTTTTTCTTTTTAAAAACTAATGGAGTTGATGCAGAAAAAATAATTGGCTTTGCCTTGGTCATGTGCTACGGTAATATTCACACAGGCAGTAAAAATCAAATGCCTTCTTATCAAACCACCTTGCTGTGCAAACAGTTTGTAAAACTCAATAGCTTTCTTATATATAAACAGAATTTGATCCAGATTCCAGAAGGAAAGATCCCATTCAAATACTAACAAAGCTATGAAATACTTGGGAAGAAAATCGACATGAAATGCTTGGGAACCGAGGAAGTGGTAGCGGGCTGGGAAGCTATAATGAATGCATTACCTTACAGTCTTGTACTTGCCATTTCCCCTCCAGGTCCACTGTGCACACCTTCTCACCCTGCTCTGTGCCCCGAGAGGCTGACCTGTAACTACTTCATGGACACATGCCAAGCTTTAGGTTGGGGTTGGCCAATGGAGAGAGATCAGTGTGGCTCCCTGGCTCCCTCCCAGCTGCGAGAGGCTGTGGGCTGGCTATAACCCTCTAATGAAACTCTCAGCAGGTGATACTCTTCTAATGATTACTCTTCCCAAATTCCACTAATCATTCCTTCCCCTCCTGGTCTCAAGTCTGGGGTCGTAAAGATTCCCCCATGAATTGCTGTCCCACCCTTTCTGACTTCCCTAAATCCTGTTCAAACTGTCATTAATAACCACTGTGCTAAACTTAACAACTTACTTGATTGTGCCACCTGTTTCCTGCCAGGACCCCGGAGGATGCGAAGAAGATGTAAAAAAATGAAGGGAAACATATTGTTATTATTTCAGTGTTGGGCTACAGGGCACAACACTGTCAAAGATGGAAATTCAGCTTAAATTGATTTCTAAGTGCTGTGCAATCTCTATCAAATACCAAGCTATTTGTTATAAAAATGGGTCTGATGGGTTAAGACCACATGTGAGAATAGTCAGGAAATTTCTAAGAAAAAAGTGACAAAGGCAGGATTTCTCCCCTACACCTTTAAAGGCATTATAATACTGTGTTGACTACAATGGCAGAGTACCAGCACATCAGTGAGAGAGAGGAGCTATCACCCTGGCCAGGTGGCTCAGCTGGCTGGAGTATTGTCACTGAAACAGAAAGGTTGTGAGTTCTAGCCCCAGTCCAGGCACATATGGGAGGGAGGCTATCAATCAATGGTTCTCTCTTCCTTCCTCTCTCTCTCTAAAAGCAATGAAAAAATGTCTTTGGGTGAGGATAAAATTTTTTTTAAAATAAACTCTTTAAAAAAGAGAGTGAGAGAAGATATCAAGTGAAAACACACATGGCACATTAGTTTAAAGTCACATCAATGACAAAAGGAATGAAAATAATGTTGGGCAACTGGCTTAAAGTCCTACCTTATTCCATACAGCAAAAATAGTTTCATATAATTCAAACACTTAAATGGAAGACACTCAACATTAAGAGTACTAGAAAAAGCCATAGATGTATATTTTTTTAACCTGAAATGGGAAAGTTGTTCTAATTATGACAACAACAAGAAACCTACAGTGATGACCCAGAGTGTGAAAGAAAGCATCAAAACATTTGACTACATAAAGATAAATCTGTTACTAGACTTATTGTGGAGATCACTTCATAAGGTATATAAATGTCTAATCACTATGTTGTACACGTGAAACCAATATAATATCATATATGAGCTATACTTTAAAATTTTTTAAAAATCCGCTTACTCATCTGTAAAGTGAGGGATGAGGTTCCGTGATCAGTAGAGATACATCCAGGTTTCCTATGGAGGTTACAATACTGTGCATGTAGCTTATTGATTATTCTTTCTTGTCATGTTATTTATCTTTGATTCATATCTCTTAGCTTTCCAATGATATTACAGGTCGCTTGAGTTATGAATACATTGCCCCAGAACCTTGTCCATAGTAGGTGCTTCAAAAATCATTCTTTACGATGACAAAAATGAAAGTGACCAAGATAATAAGAACGATTCAATCAATGAGGTCAAGTTTGAGAGGAAGGCATTGTACAGGTTAATCATTATTAAAGTAACCAGTCATCTGACTAGTTTCACCAGCTGTTTGAATTACCCAGGAATTCAGTCAAGCACAACTTATCTAGTCACCGAGCATAAATAAAGCCTTTTGCTTTCTGAATTAAAAAAGATTCTACATCCTTAAATCAATGTGGCAAATTAAATAGCAGAGTGGTTATTGATTTTCTAATAACTGATATTACATATCATTCTATTTTAAGTTCAATTATACTAACAGCCTGTTTGCTTAAACATTTCTTTTTTCTTAGCAACTTCATTTTGAAAAATTTCAGATATGTAGAAAACTTAAAAGAATTTTACAGTGCAACCTGTATGCCTGCTGCCTGAATGCAACAATTGTTCAGAGTGTGTCATGTTGCTTTTACCTCTTTGTACGTGGATATACACATGTATATGTTTTTCTAAGTCATTTGGAAATGGCAGACATGTTACCCCAAGCTCTGAAGCTTATATATCCTCAAATAAGGATGACACTTAAGAGAATTAATAATAGCACAACATCACCTCATATTTATTTTATATTCCAATTCTCCCAGTTTGTCCCCAAACCATCTTCTGTAGCCTTTTTCTCTGGTTCAGCAGCTGCTCGGAGTCTCTGTAATCTCTTTACAGTCTTTCTTTATGTAAAACTTCCTTTAATGTGTGACATCCACCCCTGCAAAGGTGACTTTAAGCTCTGCAACAAAAGTGTTCTTCTAAGTGGCAGACCTACATTTCCAGTTATGTGCCGGACTGTTCTGTATGTACAAAGAGGGATATATTCCTCTAGAACAAAGCCCTAAGATTTTGAAAGATCAATGTATAAAAGCTGAAAAACGTTTGAAGAAATTAAAAAAACTAACACTGCTATTTAAAAGCTTCAAGAATTGTGTCTCCGTATAGATCAAGGCAGTGAAATTTGTTGCATTCTTGGTTCCTTTCATTTTTCTTCTCTCTCTCTGTTTCTATTTGAATGGGGCTTTTAGTTAGGCAAATATAAGGCAAGGCAATGACCTTCTAACTTTTTCTTTGATTTTAATAGAAAGTACCTAGTCATAAGTTAAGAACTCTTATGTATAGCAAATAGACAAATAAGAACAAAAAAGAAATGAAAGAAGGGAGACAGATTGAATGGGACTTTTACTTAGACATATAAAAAGTAAAGGACTTTCACCTTGGCTGGATAGCTTAGTTGGTTGGAGCATTGTCCTGATGGGCCAAGGTTGCAGATTTGATCCCTAGTCAGGACACATACAAGAAGCAACTGATGAGTATATAAATAAGTAGAACGATAAATTGATGTTTCTCTCTTGCACTTTCTCTCCCTTCTCTCTCTAAAATCAACTTAAAAAGTAAAGGACTTTCCTTTGATTTTATTTTCATAGATGATGTATAATATATATTCATGCGGTACAGAAATATATATAATATATATATGGAGAGAGAGAGAGGTGTGAGGGGTACCCAAAAGCATCCCTAGTTTAGTGACTCATCCTATAGTTTGCTCACAGCTGTGATCATTATGCTGAAAGGGCACAAACCAAGATCAGTACAGGGGAAGGTACAGGGCAATGACTGGAGGAACCCAGGCACAAGCTCAGGACACGCTTAATCCCCCAGCAACCACTTGAGAAAATACATATGAAATCTTACCTACCAGGGAAGCTCATTGCAGACTCAGCATTTAGAGTTTTTAGTGGGGGCCCATCACGTAGGCACCCTCTGCCTAGCACATACCAAAATTCCAGAAGGAAAGCAGGTGTTTGGTATAAATTATATTGTTTACAAACACAGTTTAGCCACAGTGAGCCACTCTTCC